ATAAATAAACAAACAAACAAATAAATAAATAAATAAAAACATAACTCTAGCTCCTTCTGAAATTCTTTCTCATCTTACTGTTGCTCTATCTCTAAATCCTCTTAGCTGCCCTGCTTACTAATTACCTTGGGTAGTGCCCTAGGAAAAATATATATATATTGTCTACTCTCCTCAAACTCATATACCTATATATACACATAGGGCTTCTTTCCTACAGAATGTAATCTACATTGGCCAAAATTTAAAAGTTTGGCAATACTAAGTGTTGTTAAATTCCTGGTGGTATAAACAGTATAGCAACTAAGGAAGACAGACTCATTATTTCCTATAAGGAGATCAGGGTCAGATATAGGTAGATAGGTAGATAGATAGATAGATGACGTAATAATAGGTAGAAAAGGGTTAGTTCTCTCTTGGTGACCCGGGACAGCACAATCTGCAAGGACTTGTGGGTTATCAGGGAAAAAGCTAGGCAAGATAAATCTGCAACAGCAGAAGCCCGCAGTAGCTAAGCATTGCAAAAGATCTAATGCTGTCAATTCTCCTAGGAATCCAAGGGAGCAAGACACTCTTAGAGTAGAAAAGACCCAAGGGAATTATCAGAGAATTTGCAATGATCAGGTTTTCAGGAATTGGCATTTACTGGTAGACTGAGGAAAAAAGGTTTTTTTCTCTCTACTCATACTCAACATGGCACAGAACATTTCTATGATTAGATGTGTGAGGGTTTTCCCACACACACCAAGCAATTCTCCAACTGAGTGTCCTATAATTCAATTCAATTCTGAAACTATCCCACAGGTTAAGGGTTCAGTCAAGACACCAACTACAAGTTCCAGGTTGTGACCTGTGCTTCTGACTTGCTAGAAATCACAGTTCCCACAACCTTCCTCCTTGGGTTTGATAATTTTCTAGGATGGCTCACAGAACTCGGGGAAAATGCTTTAAAAGGCTATATAGATGATCACCCAGAGGAAGAGATGCATGGGGCAAGGTTGTGAGAGGGAGAGCTCAGAGCCTTCGAGCACTCTCTTGGCCGCCATCCTCCCAGTAGCTCCAAGTGTTCAGCAACTCAGAAACTCAACAAATTGCATTGTCCAATAGTTTGTATAGTGTGTAATTTCCAGCCCACCCATGCTCTCTTTCCCAGAAGTCTGTGGATGGGGCTGAAAGTTTCAATCCTGAGGCCAGGGAGCGGTGGCTCATGCCTGTAATTCTAGCATTCTGGAAGGCTGAGGCAAGAGGATTGCTTGAGCTCAGCAGTTCGAGACCAGCCTGAGCAAGAGCAAGACCCCATCTTGAAAAAATTAGCTGAGCCTGGTGCCCAGTCCTGTATGCCCAGTCCCAGCTACTCAGAAGCCTGAGGCAGGAGGATTGCTTGAGCCCAGGAGTTGGAGGTTGCTGTGAGCTAGGCTGACTCCACGACACT